CAAAGCGGGATCAATTCAGGGAAGTCAGATGAGGAGGTCAGAGTCGATGCTCACAAGGATCGGTTCTGGTCTGAATTACATCTGCCGTGGTTGCCACTAAGTGTTTCCAAAAGTATCCCCGTTTTATCCGGTGGTGACCCTTGGTATGAGTGTCACTGCTGAAAACATTAGCTATGGGGTGAGAATACATACTCCCTCCTGATGGAGGCTGTGAATGTCCTTCTCTTAGGCCTGACTGAAGGTGGCATATCTGACTGCTCCCAAACACTGGCCATGCTATAAATATGAACCCCAGTCTCATGGCTTGAGGCTATCTCTACTTTGTGTGTTCCCTCGCCAGTGTGCACAAGTGGAAATACCTTTGTTTAACAACCTAAGAACGGCCACATTGGGTCAGAACAATGGTCCATCTAGCCCAATGTCCTCTGATGAATTCTTTAAAGGGAATGAGCAACTACCAAGTGTTCCTACCTCTGTTGTCCACTCCCAAGTTTTGGCAGTTAAAGGTTTATGGACATCCAGAGCAGGGCTTGCACTCTGAACATCTTAGTTAATAGACACTGATGGACCTGTCCTCCAGAAACTGATCTAATTGTTTTCTAAATCTGTGTATAGTTTTGGCCTTCACAACATCCTCTGGCAAGGAGTTCCACAGGTTAACCGTGGAAGCAGTACTTCCTTCTGTTTGTTTTAAACCTGTTGCTTATTAATTTCATTGGGTGTTTCCCAATGCTTGCATTATAAGAAGGGGTAAGCAACTCTTCCTTATTTGTTTTCTCCACCCTATTCATGATTTTATAGACCTCTATAATCCTGCACCTTCGTTACCTCTTTCCTAAAATGAAGAATCCCAGCCTTTTTAATCTCTCCTCAGATGGAAGCGGTTCCACTAATCATTTTGTATGTATAGTTGGGATTATGTTTTGTGGAATGCATTACTTTGCTTTAATCAACACTTAATTTTTTCTGCCATTTTGTTCCTCATCCAATTGTGTAAGATCCCTTGGTAACTCTTCACAGTCTACTTTGAGCTTAGTGATAGAAATGTAGCCGTGTTAGTCTGGTGTAGCTGAAGCAAAATACAGGACTATGCAGCACTTTAAAGACTAACAAGATGGTTTATTAGATGATGAGCTTTCGTGGGCCAGACCCACTTCCTGGCCCACGAAAGCTCATCATCTAATAAACCATCTTGTTAGTCTTTAAAGTGCTACATAGTCCTTTACTTTGAGCTTAACAGTCTTGAATATTTTCGTATCCTTTGCAAATTTCAGCACCTTACTGTTTACCCCACTTTCCAGATTATTTATTAACATGTTGAACAACCCAGGTCCCAGTATAGACCCCTGGGGACACCGTTACTTGTTTCCTTTCTGAAACCTGATGGTTATTCCCACCCTTTGCTATCTTTTCAGTTACTGGTCCATGTGCGGACCTTCCCTTTTATCCCATGACACCTTACTTTGCCTAAGAGCCTTTGGTGAGGGACTGTGTCAAAGGCTTTTTGAAAATCTAAATACACTATATCCATGCATCACCCTTGCCCACATCATAAAAAGTCTCTGAGAGGTCACCAGGTTAGTCTGTAACTGTACAAACAGCAAGTGGTCCTGTAGTGCCATAGGGTACGTCTACACAGCAGCGTTAAATAATAAAGAGCGCGTCTACATTGCAAGCCGTTATTTCGAAATCATGGTGAGCTGGAGGACTTCTTACTCCGATTCCGGTAACCTTCATTTCACGCGGAGTAAGGGAAGTCAAAGGAAGAGTGCTCGTCCTTCGACTTCCAGCTGTGGAGACAGCACCGAAAGCCGAGTTAAGCTATTTCGACTTCAGCTACGCGATTGATGTAGCTGAAATTGCGGGGCTTAATTCTAGTTTTGTCCTGCTGTGTAAAAGTGCCCTTAGAGACTAAGAAAAGTATTAGGTCATGAGCTTTTTTGGGCAAAACCCACTTCATCAGATAGGTAGGAGTGGAAATTATAGAATTCAGGGTATATCGAACAACAAAAGAAGGTACCTGTCAATTGTAATTTCCACTCTAGCTCATCTGATGAAGTGGATTTTACCCATAAAAGCTCATAACTTAAGATGCCATAGTAATGCTTATTGTCCACATGTTTTTTACCCTCTCAAGGAAATCGAATAGATTGGTGAAACTTCCTCCAACAAATTGTGTTCTTCTGTGTGTCTGATAACTATTCTTTACTATAGTTTCAACCAGTTTGCCTGCTACTGAAATTAGGCTTCCCAGCTAGTAATTGCCAGAAGCATCTCTGAAGTCTTTACAAAATTGGTGTTACTTTAGCTCCGGTCAACTGGTACCGAAGCTGATGGAAGTGATAGGTTATAGAACATAGTTAGTAGTTCTACAATTTCACATGTGAATTCTTCTGAAGCCTTGAGTGAAGAGCACGCCTGATCTGACCCCTAGTCCCCTTTAATATTAGGCAGCCAAGTTCACCCATCTTAGTATACCAGCACTTACAAAATGTGTCCCTTTTTAGTTGTTGGCCTTTATGGGTGTAATGGGATGCGACCGTTTTTCATTTGACTGTTTCTCTTCAGCTTCTACCTGTACTTTATCGGCTTGTATCCTCTCCTCTTTACGAGACGTGACAGCATCTCTCAAGGGTGCCTTCTGCTGGTTAGGTGTGTCTGAAGTCCTTAAACAGTCCTGGCCCTGAAATCTGGCCATATCCTCACAGCTTCCTCCCTCTTCTGTTTTTTGTCCTTTCTGGGTTCTCTCCAACTAAGTAGTGACCCTCTGGGGCGTTATGACAGTCCAATTGTAGGTCAAATCCCGCATGGTCCGTGGGGAGATCCAGGCCTGCACACTATTCCCTGTCCCATCCCAGGAACCGTAAGAATAGTAGCCACATGCCACTGTGTCCCTTGAACGAAACTGCCTTCAATTCCCTGGAAAAACTTTAAAACACAACAAATAGTCTAGCAACACCTTAGAAACGAACAAAACCGGTAGATGGTCTCATGAGCTTTCGTGGGCACAGCCCACTTCTTCAGATGACTGGAGTGGTAGAAGTCCAGATCCAAGCACAAATAAGGAAAGGTCGGGAGGGGGGGTGAGGAGGGGGAAAGATTTAACCAACCAATGGATACTTATAGAGGTGCAAATCGTTCTTATCAGCCTCTTGTAACTTGAACAATCCAATTCACTATTTTTCTCTTTTTTTCCCCTTTCCCCACCCCCCACTTTCCCTTATTTATTCTTGGATCTAGACTTCTAATACTCCAGGCAGCTGAAGAAGTGGGTTGTACCCACAAAAGTTCATGATCCCAGTGTGACATAGTGGTTTGAGCAGTAGCCTACTGAGCCTAAGGTTGTAAGTTCAATTCTTGAGGATGCCATTTAGGAAGCTGGGGCAAAGTCTGTGAGGGATGGTGCTTGGTCCTGCTGTGAAGGCAGGGGACTGGACTTTAATGACCTTTCAGGGTCTGCTCTAGGAGATAGGCATCTCCATTCATGTCATTTACCCCCTGGAGCTTTTGATTCCATAGGCCACTTCCCTGTGGCCCCAGCCTTCACCGAAGCTTTGTCCCAGCAGGCAGACTGGAGCTTTTCCTCACTCGGAGCCCTGCCAGCGTAACCCGCATGCCTGCTGGGGGTGGGGCACGGTCCCATGGTGTGGCACTGAGCCCGCTGACAGAGAATGAGTTTGCTCTGCAGCCTGAGCCCAGCCTGGGTTCTGAGCTGTCCCTGGTGCTGCAGTTCCCTTTAGCCAGGCAGGACCAGCATCTGGTGTCATAGAATCACAGAACCCCAGGGCGGGCAGAGACCTCAGGAGGCATCGAGTCCAGCCCCCTGCCCAAGGCAGGACCCACCCAACTCAATCACCCCAGCCAGGGCTCTGTCCAGCCGGGACTGAAACACCTCTAGGGATGGAGATTCCACCCCTCCCTAAGGAACCCAGCCCAGGGCTTCCCCCCCGCCTAGGGAAATGGTTTGTCCTAATCTCCAACCTAGACCTCCCCCTCTGCAACGTGAGCCCATCGCTCCTTGTTCTGCCACCTGCCCCCACTGAGACCAGCCTCTCTCCATCCTCTTTGGACCCCCCTGCAGGGAGCTGAAGGCTGCTCTCAAATCCCCCCTCACTCTTCCCTTCTTCAGACTAAACAAGCCCAAACCCCTCAGCCTCTCCTCCCAGCCATGTGCTCCATCCTGAATCATTTTGGTTGCCCCCCGCTGGACCCTCTCCAACGCGCCCACATCCTTTCTGTAACGGGGAGCCCAGAACTGAATGCAAAACTCCAGATGTGGCCTCCCCAGTGCCGAATGCATATGGTCCTCCTGGGCCCTGACTGGCTGTTTCCCCTGCAGCAGCCGTGTTAGGCTGCTTGGATGATCCCTCTACTGCTTTTTTCCAGAGATGGGGGTGGCAGGACACTCAGGTGAGCGCTAAAAGGCCTCTGGGCCTAGCCCACCCTGGCACACGATGATACAAAGCAGTGCTCACCAATCAGTGGATCGGGATTTCCTGGCAGATGTTGGAGTATCCGACAGGTGACCCTGCCTGGTTTGGCTGGGAGGAGGCCAAGTGTCAGCACTTCAACTGCCCTGCTGCTCTTGCCCTCTGCTTTGGAGCCTGTGCGTGCTGTCTCTCCTTTTTCTTCTTCCAGAGAGTGAAATGTGGGTCTGTGCATTTCATCATTCTCATTCCTCTCTTCTGCCAACAGGCGATTCTTTTGTAATTCTTTTGTAAGTCAGTGAGTTCTAAAATGCCTCACCTGGAGTAACCATCCCTATGCTAATTATGTAGATATGGGCACCCACAATTCCACCAAAAACAACCTGGAGCCAGTCACTGAAGATGATGTGGCTAAAAGGACCAGAGTCTGGAGCACAAGTAATGTTCCGCTCAGCCTCCCTGGTGAAGGAACAGGCCCAGGCAGGGACTGCCAGATCATGGAAGTAAATGCACGGCTGCGCAGGAGGTATCCGCGAGAGGGCTTTGTCTTCTTTGAAAATGACCTCTGTGATCCTATGAATAGAAAACCTCAATTAACAGGAAATCCTTCCCTCCCGCCATAGCCACGCTGTGTGCATCTTCTACCTGGTTCTCCGAGCCCTGGACACCGTGGAGGATGATATGACCATCAGTTTAGAAACCAAGATCCCCATGTTGCACAATTTCCACTCCTACCTGTATCAGCCGGCCTGGAGATACACGGAGAGCCAGGAGAAGTACAAGCAAGTGCTTGAGGACTTCCCAACGGTGAGTCGCTCAATTCCAGGAAACGATCCCGCAACCCATATGGTGAGCAGCGTCCTTCAAACCTCCTTGCAACGTGGAACATAGGAATTGCCAGACGACTGAAGACATGGTCACAGGCAATGCCTGCTGGCATGTCACTGGGTTTTATGGGAATAAGGAATGCAGAAAACAACTCCTTTGTAACTCTAAACTGCCCTGGAATTTCAGTCCTTCCTAGTTTTGACATGGAGGGCTGGGGTTTAAAGACCAGAGGCCCAAGATCATATCCACTCACATACCTACATTTATGTACATTTCACTGCAGTTGTGCGCCATTGTGGTGACTTTAAAGGTTGTCTTACTGGCACATGGGACTCCATTGAAAATTGGGGGGGCCTAAATGCTGATAAACTCTGCTTGTGCGCAAGTGAGAGCCACCCGCTGAAAACTTGGCTCTAAAAACCATATGATCCCTGAGTTTTGAAACAGGAGATCTGCTTCCTGCAGGGAAATGACAGACGTGTCGGATCTTGCCCTCTCTGCCACTAGACCTCCGGGGTGACAATCTGTCCCCCTGGCAGGAAAGGGGGATGACAACACCTCACTCTGTGATCTGCTGATGCCCAGTTTATGAAGGGAGTTGTTTTGATGGAGGCTTTAAGAGTAGGGGTCAGCAAGATCTGGCCCAGGGGCAGATCCGTCCCACCAAGCCTTTCAGTCTGGCCCGTGGCCCACCCCACTGGACCCACAGACAGGGAGCAGTTCCAGGGCTCAGCGTGTCTGGCTGCTCCATCTGCCTCTCTGCACTGAGGGGAAAGGGGAAACTTCATGTACTGAGAACCCCTCCTTCACCCAAACTCCCTCTCAGACCCCACACCCTCTCCTGTACCCCAATTCCCTACCCTGAGCTTCCTTCTGCACCCAACCTCCCTCCCAGATCACAGCTCCCCCGCCATAGAAAAGTGCGGCCCTGGACCGCTTACCAAAATGTTGAAGTGCCCGCCCCTGCTGTAGAGAGCCTGTTACTTACAAGAGTCTGGAGCTAATTCTATTTTGTTTATCAAAGTGAAGGTTCCGACCAGAGCCAGTCTTAGGAGCGGGCGAGCCGGACGGTCGCCTGGGGCCACCATTTTCAAGGGGCCTCTGACAGAAGAAAGCCTTTTTCAACAGATCCTGTAAACCTCCTTGCAGGAGGCAGAAGGGATCGGTGGGAAAAGGCTTTCTGTCTCGACAGATCCCCCTCTAGACTGCTGCTTTTTGCCGACAAAGTGCTGAGTCGCCAAAACGCGGTGGCCATTTTTATGCAAATTAGGCGCGGGATATTTAAATCCTTGCCTCGTTTGCAATGTCGACCTGCCTAATCTGCATCCCTTTGCCGACAGAGGGATGCAGTCTAGACATACCCTTAGAGACGAACAGATTGATTTGAGAGTAAGCGTTCGTGGGGAAAGCCCACTTCCTCAGATGCTTTGGAGGAAATGGTTTGTACCCCTGAAAGCTGATGCCCAAATCTGTTAGTCTCTAAGGTGTCACCGGATTCCTCAGTGTTCCTGTCCGTCTCTTAGCCCACAAATGAATGCCAAATTCAGCTTCACTTCCACACTACGTCTATTTCCTTGTGGTGTCTGCTGCAGATCTCTCTGGAGTTCAGGAACCTGGCAAAGGTGTATCGGGATGTGATTGTAGACGTTTGTCAGAAGATGGGAGCTGGGATGGCAGAGTTCTTGCAAAAGAAGGTGGATTCCTTGCAAGATTGGGATAAGGTAAGTAAATCCGTAAGAGAGCAGCGAGAGAGCCTGCTCAGATCAACACCCACAAGAAGTGCTCCCTGTAAGCGGGCACTAGTCTGAGAGTCAAATGTGGCCCTGTGGATTAGCAGAGTGCCCACAGCTAGGTTTTGTAAGTGAGCAGCGAGAGAGCCACACCCACAGGCAGTGCTCCCTGTAAGTGGGCACTAGTCTGAGAGTCAAATGTGGCCCTGTGGATTAGCAGAGTGCCCACAGCTAGGTTTCTTGTTGGTGCACGTCTGCACCATTCTACTGGTGGTGCACATCTGCACATACCTTGGTGCACATAACAAAATTTATTCCTCACGTGGATGGACAAGATTAGAGGGAACATTACCCATAATTCTTGCTGGAGGCCTGGCATTCTGCCCTGGCTGCACATAATAACTAGTTTCTTCTCCCCTGGGGTTGGTGATGCTTATCCAGTCGTATCTAGGAACCCCAGATGAGAAAAGGACAAGTGTTAAGTCCGAGTCTGGCTACTTGCACAGCCTCTTTCCAGAGGGACGTAAAGCATATTTTAGTGATGAAATCCCTGTGTACATTTCACCAGGCATTGACTAGCTTCTGTGTGTTGCTACTGATCTTTGTGAATGGCAATAATCGTAAGTGTCCTCTTGGACCAGGATGGGCCCCTGGAGCAGCTGCTCTCATATGGGTCTTTCCTCTGGAAGGTGGAAGCCCGAGGCCGTTAACGGCTGTGGATGACACATTTCCTCTTTTTTCTGAGCAAAGCAGAGCTCGGCAGAAGCACAGTGCTGGTGGAGGGAGGCTGCCTGTTACATACAGACTAGGGGAGATGTGCCAAAGAATGCTCAGTCCTTGTTGCAGAAGCACGGTGCTGATGGAGGGAGGCTGCCTGTTACATACAGGCTAGGGGAGATGTGCCAAAGAATGCTCAGTCCTTGTCACTCAAGACACGAGGAGTCATTCTTCCACTCTGCTCTGCGCTGATTAGGCCTCCGTTAGAGTTTTGTGACCAGTCCTGGGCACCACATTGCAGGAAAGAAGTGGAGAAATTGGGGAAGGTCCAGAGAAGAGCAACAAGAATGATGAAACATCTAGAGAACATGAGCTATGAAGGACGACTGAAGGAATTGAGTTTGTTTACTTTGGAAAGGAGAAGACTGAGGGGGGACATGAGAGCGGTTTTCAAGTATCTAAAAGGGTGTCACAAGGAGGAGGAAGAAAAATGATTCTCCGTGGCCTCTGATGACAGGACTAGAAGCAATGGGCTTAAATTGCAGCAAGGGAGGTTTAGGTTGGACATTAGGAAAAACTTCCTGCCTGTCAGGGTGGTTAAACACTGGAATAAATTGCCTGCGGCAGTTGTGGGATCTCCATCCCTGGAGATATTTCAGAGCAGGTTGGACAGACACCTGTCAGGGATGTTCTAGACGGTGCTGGGTCCTGCCGTGAGGGCAGGGGACTGGACTCGATGACCTCTCGAGGTCCCTTCCGGTTCTAGGGTTCTATGATTCTATGAATTGAAAGATGAAATCAAATACCACTGCCACAGTTGTCGAAACAAGGAAAGGCACGTCCGGCACATTCTCTATGGGTGTACGTTTGAGGCAGCCATTGGGACTAGGGGAGAGAGATCATTCAACATTTTTCTCCCTCTCCAAACCTCGCAGTATTGTCACTATGTCGTCGGGCTGGCGAGTATTGGCCTGTCCCATCTGTTCTGTGTGCTGGAGTTAGAAGACCCCGTCATAGGAGAGAACACCGAGCTTGCAAATTCCATGGGTATCTTCATTGAGAAAACCATCATCATCCGTGATTATCTGGAGGACCAGCTGGCCGGAAGAGAGTTCTGGCCCAGAGAGGTAACGGAAACATGCCCCTTTTGAGATGAGAACTTCTGCCTGAGATGGCACATTAGAAGGGCTGACGTGGGGATGCAGCCGGCTCATCTGAAAGGGGCAGGACTGGGATCGCTTAGACGCAGTTTCGTCCTAACTAGTTAGAAGATTTCTGCCATAGGCTTTTCTTGCCATTCCCAGTCTGATATAGAAGCCTTAGGGGTGTTTTCAGAAAAAATGTGTCCACGTCTGCCGTTAGGCTAAACTCTTCTGCCATTGAGTTCTAACCACGCTCTAGCTGAGCCGGCCGACTTAGCAGTGTGAGGCCTCACAGGGCCTTCGCTCTGTTGCTAATAATGACACCTTTGCAGACCTGTCACTGACATGGCAAATTCCTGGTTCGCAGCCACACATCTCATGAATGTGCCCATTAAAGCAAAACTCAGAGGAGAACCTGGGGTGGTTTTCTGTCTCACTGATCATGACCCAAAGCTGTGATCTAGGTGATCATGGTTATTAGCCTGGTTCTGGTGTCTGATCAGCAGAGCCTCTGGAGAAACTCTGTTGTTAGCGGACACCCTGGAGGCGTCGGCGGTGTTCTATACACCAGCCCCGTTGGCAGGACACAACCTCACTGCTGCAGGAAGCGTGGAAGTGTGTTGCTCAGTGGCCTGGGGGTTCCCTTTCAGAGCGCCCATGTGGGTTCAGGACATCTCTGCAGAGTGGGATCCACGTGCCTTTGTCTTGTGTCTGTCTAGAAATTCACCACTTTGGTAGGACTCTCTTCTAGAAGTGAATCTCTCTCTCCCAATGTGGCTCATTGAGAAGGACCCTGTAATGGGGCTGAATGAAACCGACGACCAGTGTAAACTTGAGCGTTTTAAGGGCCCTTCTGATTGCAACAAGGTCTGCTTATGAGAATGAGGCAGCAGTCAGAAATAAGAGTTTTATTTAAATAAAAACAATGAAGAGGACTGTGCCACCTTGAAGACACTAGAGTTCTAGGTTGGATCAGGGCCAGACTAAGGGGTGGGCTAGCCGAGCAGCTGTGCAGGGCGCCAACCTACGGGGGGCACCCAGCTCCCGGTGGGCTGCAGCGGCCGCCCGGGGCAGGGGCCGTGTTAACCCCCACAGCACTGACCAGCAGCGTCCTTCTCCCTGCGGCCACAGGGCCCTGCATGGCCAGGTGCAGCCCTCTCTGGGCTGCACGCCATCAGCAGTGGCCGGGCTGACTGGGCAGCGCAAGTGCCGTGTGTCCACCCACACACCCTGGGGGTGGGCCCGTGCATGCGCCGTGCACCTGGAGGCGGGCCGGGCGCCCCAGGGGGCAGCGCCGCACACCAGGGACCCAGGGTGCCAAAATGGCTTGGATATGGGTTGGATATTAGGAAAAACTATTTCCCTAGAAGGGTGGTGAAGCCCTGGGCTGGGTTCCCTAGGGACGGGGTGGAATCTCCATCCCTAGAGGTGTTTAAGTCTCGGCTTGACAAAGCCCTGGCCGGGTCGATTGAGTTGGGATTGGTCCTGCCTTGGGCAGGGGGCTGGACGTGATGACTCCTGAGGTCTCTTCCAGTTCTACGATTCTCTGATTTGGCCATAAGCTTCCCTGGGCTGGAGCCCACTTCATCAGATGCACCAGAAGTTAGACATGAGCTCCAGACCACAAAAGCTTAGGCCCAAATACATCTGCTAGTCTTTAAGGTGCCATAGGACGCCTCATTGTTTTTGCTGGAAGAGACTCACAGGGCGACCCCGCGGAGGTTTGTGTGGCTAGTTTGATACAGGCCCCCTTTGAAAATGTCTGGAAAGTGCTAACTGCCGGGCGGGGTTACTCCGCACTGTCGCCGTCCAGGTCTGGAGCCGGTACGCCAAGAAGCTCTCGGATCTCGCCAGGCCGGAGAACACAGACATGGCCGTCCAGTGCCTGAACGAACTGATCACAAACGCTCTGCACCACGTCCCCGATGTCCTCACCTACTTATCGAGGCTGAAGAACCAAAGCGTCTTCAACTTCTGCGCTATTCCGCAGGTGGGTGCGTCTCCAGCCTCCCCCGTGGTTTCTTTTGCAGCCTACACAGAGTGGTCAGTATTAGCACGCTTTGGTAGCTGTGCACACATAGCCTGGAGCTCAATCAATAGCTCAATCAATGGGCCATCAGTTTCAAATGGGGCCAGGAGCCCATTCCGCATGCACTGCTTACAGCAGAGTACAAGTTTGTTTTCTCCTTTCTCCCTAGGTGATGGCCGTGGCCACGCTGGCTGCCTGTTACAACAACAAGCAGGTGTTCAGGGGGGTGGTGAAGATTCGGAAAGGACAAGCGGTCACGTTAATGATGAATGCCACAAACATCAAGGCGGTCAAGGGCATAATGTACCAGTATGTGCAAGAGGTGGGTTGGGTGGCTTGCTTTGAGTGACGAGCTGTATCCGTTTCCTCTTTGCTCTATGCACGGCAGCCCTCTGTTTTGGCAGCTTCGTAACTTTCATTTTGCTTTGGCCAAAGCTGCTGACCATCTAGAAACAAGGGCAGCGTGAAACAGCTTGGCGGAGTCAAGTTTGGAATGCGGCTGTTTTCCTGTTTGCTTTAGATTCTCGGTCCTCGCTCATGACAGGCTCTGATGTCATTCAGATCCTATACAAATGGTGTCATGATGCAACACCCATATTATACACCTGCACGCAATTGCATAAGGACAGCCTGACTACTTAACCCAAAAGGTCCATTTAGCCTGGAACACTCCCTGTGACAGGGGCCAGTGCTGGGCGCCCCAGAGGGAGTGAGCAGTACAGGGAAACATCAAGTGATCCCTCTCCTGTCACCCATTCCCAGCCCCTGACAAACAGAAGCTAGGGACACCACTCCTACCCATCCTGGCTATTAGACAGGGATCACCAAATGAAACGAATAGGGAGCAGGTTTAAAACAAACAAAAGGAAGTTTTTCTTCATGCAGCACAGAATAAACCTGTGGAACTCCTTGCCACAGGGTGCTGTGAAGACCAGGATTTTATCAGGGTTCAAGAAAGAGCTAGATAATTTCATGGAGGTGAGGTCCATCAATGGCTACTAGCCAGGATGGGTAGGAATGGTGTCCCTAGCCTCTGTTTGTCAGGGGCTGGGAATGGGTGACAGGAGAGGGATCACTTGATGATTCCCTGTTCTGTTCCCTCCCTCTGGGGCATCTGGCCTTGGTCACTGTTTGAAGACGAGATACGGGCTAGATGGACCTTTGGTCTGACCTGGTCTGGCCATTCTTATGTAGTCCGTGATGGATCTTTCCTCCAAGAATGTATCTAGCTCTTTTTGGAACCTGTGTAATGGGTTCATCCTCTTGTGAGCACCCCCTTCGGCCGAGGGCATGTATCTACATACTCCAACTCCTTCTCCTTCACTCTGGGATTGGATGGTGTCCCAGGTGCCCCTTCCTCTGGATTGCCTAGGATCAGGTTTCTTTCTTCCCCTCCATTAGCTACTGGAGGATTAGGGGGGGAAAGGGGAAGAGACCCAGGCCTGTCCACGTCTCTGGTCCCACCCAGGGACCCTGTAAATAGCAGTTGTCTGCTGATTGCCAGTCCTTAAAATTTCACTGCTATTCTCCCTCCTGGGGCCACTTCCCCATGGGTCTGCACCGTCCTTTCCCTCACCTCACGGCTTTGTCTCAAAAGTTCCAGCAACACCCAGGGTCCTGCAGCTCTTCCTACCCGCCACGCCCAGTCTTCAAAAACCAGCCCTGGGCTTCAGCCGGGTCTGCAGTAAGCTCCTCACACTGAGCTGTCCAAAGTACTGCCACTTTCCCAGTCAGCCAGTCCTTCCCTCTGCAGGCCTTGAGCTCCCTAGAGCAACTGCCTGGCTCTAGCCCAGCAGCTTCTTTATACTGGCTTGCTGGGCCCTGATTGGTTGCTCTGCTGTAGCCACTCTAGCCTGCTTGGAGGACTTCCCTCCTGCTGTTTTCGGGGGGCAGGGTGTGGTAAGGCCACAAGCTTCCAGCAGTAGGCTTTGGGGCCGAGTCCATCCTGTCGTAATTGTGTAATATGGGTGTTGCATGATGGTAATACAGTAGAGTTTCCTAGTGAGACAACAGGGAATTTCCATTTCATTGTGCCTGTCTGGAATGTGTGTTTCCAGAGCATCATGGAAAACAAAAGGCCTTTAATTGCTATGACTGTGCAAATTGGCCTATATACAGGCCAGAATTTTGGTGGTTTGACTCACCTACTACTAAAACTGTCGTCTCCCAGCGGTACCATCCCTTGCGTAGGCACCGCCGCAGTCAGTAGGAGCTCTTTGAAGGGTGCTGGATGCTGTACAAAAATTAAGACGTGGTTCTCATCTGTAAGGAGCTGCTGAGCAGCTGCCAGCCCCAATGGCACGAATTACGGTTTGAAAATCAGGCCAGGCAAATTTGGACTGAACAAAACCGTTCCTGCAGGAAGATTGCTCGGGGGCAAAGCAACCCATGCACCGTGTGCTGGAACAGAATCTGGACACCGTGTATGAAGCAAGCCGGAGAGTTTTTTACACACAGCGCTGGTGGAGTGTCACTTCGCTTGTTAGGCTTGGTGAACACTGCCAGACAATAGGTTACAATGAATTATATAAGATGCCGATGGGCGAATGAAGTGATGGGGGGAGAGGGGGAAAATCCCAGACCCCCTGGATAGATGCTAATCATGAGGCAAAATGAAAGCAATAATCTAAAGGTTACATAGTGTTTTCCGCCCATAGCTTACAGAATACCTTATACAGTAGACTTCCGATAATCCGGAACCTCTGGGACCTACTTGAAAGTAGGAATAAGAGATCCTCCGGAAAAGGGCTTTATTCCGGAGGATCGCGCCAGTCTAGACGCTTTTTTTCCGGCTTTTCCCCAAGCCGGAAAAAAAGCGGCGGACATGTTTATTTAAATCCGTGGGGGATATTTAAATCCACTGCGGATTTCCCTATGCTGACTTACCTGCTTTGCATCCCTTTTCCGGAATTTGGGGCCAGTCTAGACGTAGCCTTATTGTCCATTGGTTTTTCCTAGGTTGATGGGGACCCTCAGATAACTGGAATTTTTAGATAACCGGAATGCCCTAATGCCCGAGCATGCTGGTTAACACAGATTTTACTGTATAAAGAATAACAAGGAGGAAAGAGAAAAATTGTTCTCAACCTCTGAGGACAGGTCAAGAAGAAATGGGCTTAAATTGCGTGCGGTATGGGAGGTTTAAGTTGGACATTAGGAAAAACTTCCTGCCTCTACCTGTCAGGGTGGTTAAACACTGGAATAAGTTGCCTGGGAGGTTGTGGAATCTCCATCCCTGGAGATATTTAAGAGCAGGTTGGACAGACACCTGTCAGGGATGGTCTAGATGGTGCTTGGTCCTGCCGTGAGGGCAGGGGGCTGGACTTGACCTGTCGAGGCCCCTTCCATGTCTAGTGTTCTATGAATAACTCCTTATTAACAGGAGTATTGTGAGCAAGACACGAGAAGTCACTCTTCCGCTCTACTCTGTGCTAATTAGGCCTCGGCTGACGTATTGTGTCCAGTTCTGAGCACCACATTTCAAGAAAGATGTGGAGAAATTGGAGAAAGTCCAGAGAAGAGCAATACAAATGATGAAAGGTCTAGAGAACATGAGCTCTGAGGGAAGACTGAAATAATTGGCTTTGTTTAGTCTGGAAAAGAGAAGGCTGAGAGGGGACATGAGAGTAGCTGTCAAATTCCTAAAAGGCTGTTATGAGGAAGGAAGAGAAAAATTGTTCCCCTTGGCCTCTGAGGACAGGACAAGAAGCAATGGGCGGAAATTGCAGCCAGGGAGGTTTAGGTTGGACATTAGGAAAAACTTCCTTACTGTCAGGGTGGTTAAACACTGGAATAAATTGCCTGGGGAGATTGTGGATTCTCCATCACTGGAGATGTTTCAGAGCAGGCTAGACAAGCATCTGTCAGGGATGGTCTAGATGGTGCCTGGTCCTGCTGTGAGGGCTGGGGACTGGACTTGATGACCTGTGGTGATTCCTCCCAGTTCTATGATTCTATGCTGAGAATCCCAGTGAAGCTTTCTAACTGGGGAATTTACCATTGGCCTGTTTGAATATACATGGCCCAGCGCCTGTGAGGGAGGTCCCATATCATGTTTGAGGGGATACTAGACGGTGTGGTGTTTCCATGGTTACGGCCTGACCTTGGGTGGGTTTTTCTTTCCAGATCTATCGGAAGGTCCCCAGCTCTGACCCGTCTGCCAACAAGACCCAGCAAATCATCGTGTCCATCCGGACAATGTGTTTGCCCAATGGCACGGCGGTATCCCGTAATCATTACTTCCCCATCTGCCTCTCGTGCGCCATGCTCCTGGCAGGGCTGAGCTGGCAGTACCTGCGGGCCGTGTAAGACGTGTTGGAGGAGGACGTCCAGGCCAGCAAGAACTGAGGGTTGGTTGGGAGAGGGAAGGCAGTGGGTGGGTTACAGCGGGAACGGATTCGTGTTTCTTCCCTATTGGGTCTGCAGCCCTGCGGAGTTCCAGACCGGTGTGGGGCCTTGCAGCTGGGGACAGAAGGCAAACCGAAGGTGCCGCTTGCCTTGCAGCTGTTGGGTGTGTCATCACAGCTAGTTCGTAGCCGGCCGCCTGACTTGGGCACGTTGGTTTCGGATGAACAGGCTCCAGATGTGACAGTTGGAGTCGCCCCTTTCCTCTTTGTGCGAAACAGCGTCCCCCTGGACTCTAGCTGGCATGTTTTTCCAATAGAAATTCAAACGGTCTCCCTGCATTTTGGTTGCCTCCGTTGATTTTTTGACCCTCCTTTCCCAGTACAAGGCTCCGTGAGTTCAGCATTTGTGGTCTTCCTCTCGCCTCCTCCTGGTGCCTTGTCCTCCTACCCCTGTGTCTTCATTACTCTGCAGACGAAACCGTCCCACTCTGGCCCACGGGCGGAGAAGCTCACCTATCCTGAGCCGGAGCTATGCTGGGGAATCTCTCTTCTGACCCCCATCTGACTAGGTGGTGGCTTTCCATTCCAGGGGTGCGTGGGGGCGTGCTGGGCCTCCCATCCTTGCGCTAAAGATCGCAGGCTGGGGGACGAAGTTGTGCCCCAGAGCTGTCACGAGGCAGGAAAGCTGAGCTATTTATGTCACATGGCCATCATGCCGCATCTGCCACTTTTAAAGCCTCCCCACCCCCACCCACACAAAGGATCTCCCCCAAGAAAATGCAACACCTGGGAAGCTTATTCCTCACGTGACGTGCCCATAACTGGTCACTTCAGCTCCTTCCCTGGATTTAAGAGCAGGAGTACAGCAAATGAGCATTGCACGGCTAGGGCACAACTAGCCACCTTCCAATCTCTTTGAGTCGGGCCCAGCTATCTGATCTGACGTGACATTGGGTGAGAATGACCTGAAGAAAGCAGCACCAGCGGTGTCAAACTGCTGCCGCTCCTCTGTGCTTTCACACCTACTAGCATCGGGGTTAAGAACAGGGTCACGTGCCCCTGGAGCGGAACGCCATGGCTTCCTAGAAACGATTCCCAACCAGAGGGGATTTCTCCACCTGCCTGGCTCCTTTTCCCGTTACGCCACTGCCCTGTTTTCCTTCCCTCCGTATCCGTTCCTTCTAGCTTCCCGCCATGTGTCAGTTTTACCTTCTACCTTGTGCTAAATATGAGCCAAGAGAATATGCTACTGCAAAACCAAATGTAACCCACACATCTAATGTGGTTCACTGTCCCATGCAGTGGCACCTAGACCAAGCAACAGCTAAGATCAAGAGACCTCCACAGCAGTGTTTCTTAAACTTGTTACGTCTAAGGAACACACCAAACAATATTTTCTTTTATGAGGAACACCAAAGATTATTTTGTTGACAAAAAAAAAAAAAAAAAAGTAACCTGCCCCTTTAAGGGCAGCCATTTTGAACTCTGTTGTGCTCTGCGGCACACCTCCGGCTGCCGCAGCACACCAGTGTGCCGCAGAACACAGTTTAAGAAACACCACTCTACAGCATGGGTTGGGAGTCAGCTGTCTTTTAGCTCAGAAGGTAGAGGCTCCTATAGTAAGCTCCAGAGGTCCCCGGTTCAAATCCACTTGGTGGTGATTACACAACACCCATCATTCTGGGATATAGTAGCAGGGTTGCAGGCAAGACATAAGCAATAATTCTTCCTTTGACTGATTCGGCCTCACCTGGAATATTGTGTCCTGTTTCGGGTGCCACCTTTCAGGAAAGATAGAGACAAACTGGAGAAAGTCCACAGAACTGGTCCTGCTTTGGGCAGGGGGCTGGACTCGATGACTCCTGAAGTCTCTTCCAGCCCTAGGATTGGGGAGGGGGGAGGAGTGAGCTACCTTTTCGAGGAGGGGAGCAGAATAGCACACTGTAGCTTTGGGCTGGCTGAGGAGGGGAGAAGAGTGAGCTAAGAGAGGTGACTGCTTTGCAGTTGCCTGTACTCTTCTCGCTCCTGGCTACTAAGGGAAGGGCCTGGGGCAGGGCTCCCTGTCAGCAGGGCGCGTGTGCGGCTGCCCAGGAGAGATGCCAATGCAGCCCAGCAGATTGGCAGACCGCCCACAGCTAGGTTCGTGTTTCTATTTGTGGTGCACATGACACCTAACTTGGCGCACATACAAATTATTCCGCACATGGGTGGAAGAAATCTGCACGTGGATGGAAAAGAGTAGGGGGAACATTGGGCAGGAGACAGCATCATGGGATGGTAGGAAAGTTAGGGGCGGTTGCTGCTTCTCCACTGCCCCCCCGCATGTGGCGCCCTTGTGCAGGAGCTGGAGAGAGGCGAATGGAGTTTGTCGGCATGGCAGCACATCTGTGTGAGGAGAGAGGCGTCCTGTACCGCATGTGGACCCAGCTCTCTGCCCCCACGAGGCTGGCCAGGCGC